GCGCAGAAATCGAATATAAAAGAATTCTTGGTTACAGCAAAACACGATGGCTAGCTCTTTTACCAGCTGTAGAAAATATTTTAAAAATATACGAACCATTAAAATCATACTTTTTATCACAAGATAAATGTCCAAGAATATTGCAGCTCTTTTTTGAAAATGACACATCACAAATTTGGCTTCAGTTCATCCACAACCAAGCTACATTATTTCACAATGCTGTGAAAATTATTGAAGGGGACAAAATTTCAATTACGGAAGTGTCAAATGAAATCAATAATTTAAAAACAAAATTACGAGAAAGAATTGATAACGATTACATTCCTTTAATTATTCGAAAAGACATCACTAGGTTGGAAGAACAAGGTGCCATTAAACGACCTGATTTTCGGAAACATGTCAAAAATTTTTATAATAACTGCTTGGAATATCTTGAAGAATGGACAGTTCAATTCGAAGATATTAAAAATTTTCATTGGGTGACATTAAAAAAGGAGATTTTATGGGAATATGTGGAAAAATCTTTTGAATATATTAGTAACCATTTTCCGAAAAATAATATTTGCGAAAATGATCTTTTTTGATGAGGTGTCATTGGTAAAAAGATATGTTACAGATGAAAAAATAAAATGTTGGTTGTCTGCAAATGTGGAAACAGACAAAAAATGGACGAAGTTATTCCTTCATTTTAAACAGAATAATATTCCTTATCAAAATATTTTGAAAATTGTAGAATTTCCGCTCTCCCTATTCCAGGAACAAAAGCAGCAACACAACGTGTTTTTTCTAGTATCAATAAAATATGGACAACTGAAAAAACGCAATTGAACATTAAAACTTTAAAATCTATACTAAGTGTAAAATATAATTTGACCAATTCATGTGAAATTATTCATGTGAATCTATTGCAAAGTATTCACTTGGATCAAAAATATGACCATGAAAGAAAATCATNATTTGGTCTATGTAATACAAAGTTCCATTGCCATTTACTGAAATTCTGGACAGAAATTGAACTGCCCTTTGCATTTATTTATTTTTTCGGTATGTTTATGACAATTTGAAATTTTATCAAGCACCCATTTTCACAAATAATTAGAGCATAATTTTTTCAAATTTATTAAAATTTGGTTAGTGCTTTCATGGAATTTTATTTATGAAAGGATTTAAAGTGTGATGAAATAATTTATTTTAGCTGCCAAAATTTTGTACTAGTGTGAATGGTTAACATAATCAATCTTATGATAGATATATGAATGGTAACTATCAACATCAATTTGTAGTTAAGTGTAGCTTAAAATATGAATATTAAAATTGTATATAGAACAAAAATGCATTTGTGATATTTAGATAAATTAATATTTTTAAACATCATCATGGTCATTGATATTCTTTCCAAGTTTTCAGCAATGTAATAATATAATAAATATGAAAATTTAAAACTCAAATATCATAGTATTGCTCAATTTTTTTTTATGTAAATTAATTTTGCAGTGTATATTATTTGTTTAAATTTGTTTGATAATGTGTGTGGATGACTGAAAAATTTTAATGCTTATCATTTATTATATTCTGGATTAATTAATATACTATTTAATAAATTATTCGGATAATCCACAGCCAAGCAGATGCCTTTTAGTCTTTGGTTTAAGTTCACAAACCCGGGAGCAGGACTTAATACTCGTCTTTTCAAGATACAGTCCTCTGGAAAATGTCCAAGTGATATATGATGTACAGGTAAAAATATTTGAATTTACATAATTTTTAGATTTGATGTTTTTTGTCTGTGTGTACACAGTTTAATATATTAAATTTTAAGTACTCTTTCTTGCAGTGATCAGTTTTTATCAATATAGTAAACACAAATTATTTATATGTTGTTTATGTAATCATAATATTCATGTTAGTTTTAAAACTGTATTGTACGAAATTTTAAAACAAATCCTACTAGTTAGCATGATGTCTTAAAATTTTGCCCATAATTATTATCTAATTTCAACACATTAGTTAAGAGAGAAAATATGGCACTGCAAATTTAATTTATACTCTGACACCAATCAAAAAACTGCAGGCAAAAGATTGTTGCCAAGACAGTGGGAAAAATATTAGCTTGTGGAGGGGAATAAGAAACATAAATTTGGTCTATGTCGGGGGTCTTCAACCTTTTACACTTTCGGGAACCCTTCGAGCTCATGGTTTTCTTGAAGGAACCTCGTGTTTAAGTAGCAGATAAAATAGTTTATCAAAGCTTTTTTCTACTCAAATTTGCAAAATTATTCTTGTATCTTTATTTAATCTTAATACAAACATCTTAATAAAACAATGAATAGTGAGGTAGCGAATCAGGTTTTATTTTATTTATTTTCTAGAATACATTTTATGAATAATTAACAAAAGGAACAATATTTCATATTATAACAAATTAATAAAAGGAAAATTCTTTTAATGACTTGACTGTGCTTGTTTTTTATCGCAAAGCATTTTTACATTGGGAATAATTGTTGAAATCTGCAACCTAATATCATCTTCAGCATCCAATCGGTTTCTGTATTTTGTTTTTGTGGCAGCATACAAAGAGAAAGATACTTTGCATATATGGGTTGATACAAATGATATTAAATGTTTCACAGCTCTTTTGGCAATTTCAGGATATTCATTCCTAATATCAATCCAAAAATGCATAATATGCTTTTTGATACTAAATTAACTTCAGAGTATAATTTTTTATTGTTTTTATATTTTTCAATATATTTATTTTGTTTGTACAAAATAAAGAAATAATTTTTAACGATACAATAGCCACGATTATTATTTTAAAAACTTTATATTAGGCTTAACATCTATGAAAATTCAACGCGAAGCGACACGCAACGGAGAAAAATTTCATTACGGGATAGGTTAATATGTTTTTTCGTAGATAGTCGGTTATCCGAACAACCCCTGTCCCCAATTGATTCGGATAAACGATGCTCTACTGTATTATTTCATAACCTAGATAACATAATGTTTTGGATAGATGAAAATCTTGAATTAGACATACTGAAATTTAAGATTAAAGTTGAAAAATTTGTGATTAAAGCATTTTGACAAATATTTTAAACTAAAATATAATTAACAGTTGTTATATTTCATATTTTAAATTTGAGTTTGACTCTAAATAAAATTTTTTATTTTTAGACTGGAAGATCACATGGATTTGCATTTGTTTATTTTAAAAATTTAGAGGATTCACAAATGGTAATTTTTGTTCTCTGAATTTCATTGTTGAATAATTTTTATTTAATGCTTGCTTTTACTTTTTAAATATTTAAAAAGTAAAATTTATTGGTTGTATTTCTGTGTGTAATGATTTAACATTAAAGTTGAATTACATTTAATTATCATAACATGATTTCTGTTTGTCTGCAGATGTTATATGATTTGGAATTTCTATACAAATTTTTCAAGAAATATTTCCTTATATTCATTATTTCTAATCAGTTTTATCTTTCACTTTATCGTATCTATATGTAGAATTTGTTTCATTACCCTTCTTACTTGCAGTATTAAATAATAAATGATACCTGATATGAAAGGGGAATGTAAAAGCTTTTATATCACACATTACAAGTGCTCAATGTCTGAACCTTTTATTACATGGCACACATCCAATCAGTAGTCCAGTTCTTCTCATACTCTGTTCAACATGCCCAGTATGGTGGGTGCAACAGTCTCAACGATCCTGTGTCTTAAGTCTAGTATGTTCAAAAGTAATGGTGGCACACAAACTCAATCTTGTACATACCCCACAAAAATAAATTCAATAGGGGGGTCTTTGGAGGAATTGGGGAAGAACTGGACTACCAGTTGGATGTGTGCTATGTAACAAAAGGTTCCTATGTTGAGCACTGTGACGTGTGTTATGAAAGGAAAATGTACAAAGTATTTATTTCTGATATGATTTATTATTTTATACTGCAAGTTAAGACAAATACAAATTTAAAACTGTGATATTCTTTTTGATATACTGTTTGAAGTTGTATTACAGGTGGTAATAAATTTATCTTTTCAGGCAAGAGAGAGATGCAATGGGCTGGAAATCGACGGTTTTAAAGTAACAGTAGAATATTCTATTACTCAAGCCCACATGAGAGGACCAACTTTGTAAGCAAAAAATCTTGAATTTACCTTTTGTATATAAGTTATAATTAGACTTTTCTCAAATTTTTATTTATAAAGGTATACACTAGAATACATGGTTCTGCATTCTGTATATAAAATTTAATTTACATTTTATCATTTTTATTGAAACTTATTATTATTATTATTATTCATTTTCATCGGGAAAACATTTCAAAGTGTTGTTTCAATTCTATTTATTTATTGGAGTGCTTGTGGATACATGATATTTTTTGTTTTTATGTCTGGTGCGTACTCGAATAAATCAGAAGGTTTTTTTGACGCGTGAGCTGGCCACATACAGTTGTCCATGCGAGAAGCACGGATTCTCCAAATTTAGCCCATACACTCACAACGATTGTCAGAAGTGCGATATTCCCCATTTATATATATATATTTTTAATCCTTTATAATTTTAATTATTTAATTGCTCCTTCCTCTCTTCCTTGGCATGTCGTGAAATTTCTGATAGTTGGATAATAAACCATTTTATTGTAATTTGTCTTTTTAAATTATTTTGAGTCGATATTAAAATTTGGAAAAGGGGGGATTCCTAGATTGGTAAAATACACAAATTTCTTCCTACAACTTCGGTTGTTGTTCGGGGTACAGTTAAGGTTTTAACGAAGTTCGAGCGAATACATAATTAGCAAAAAAAAGTGGAAATAAAGTGATTAAACAAAAATTATTACAAATATCGTAAATAACAGTTCACAAATGCATATATAGAGATATTTTTTGAAGGGGGGACATGGTCTTCACAATTTGAAATCGATCGAACACACAGTGCTTGAATGCTCGTGTAAACGCGTGCCATCTATTGTAGGATAAATGCCAGAAACCTTTGCGGGAGTGTATTAAAAAACTTCCCAAAGCTTTATGGCAATCGAACTACGCCAGTAACCTTTACGGGAGTATATTAAACCAGAGGTCGCCAAAGTACTGGTTTGCGGACCACTAGTGGTTTGCGAGAAAATTTTACAGGTTCCGAGAAAAATGTGGAATATACTTACTTAAGTTATGTTTTAAGATACATTGAAACATAATTTAATTCATAACAATACGTGAAAAGTTATAAAAACTCGTAGAATATAATCATTGTCTTTATATCGATATATCACGTATACAACAGTGTTTCGTTTCCATCAATTCACGCGCAAAAAAGTATTTACTTTCGACACTTGGGGCATCACCATCGCCGTAAAAGCTTCTCTAGTCGGACCTCCACCACAATCCAGACACAAACACAAATCGGTCAAGTGATTAAAAGCTTTTACGGTGAGGGGTTTTATGCCCGTTTTCACGGTTGCCAAAAGTTTGATATACTTAAACCATTTTTTAATTGTTTTGTTTTTATAGTTTTTGTTTATTTTATTATGGTTTATTAATAAAGCTTTCATAATTTGGTTACAATTAATAGTTTCATTTTATTAACTAGGTACATTTTATGTGTTCTCAGATCACAATTTTTTATAAATACATTTATCGCTTAAAAATCCTATTAGTGGTCCGTGGGATGAATTTACTGGTCCGGATCCTGGAGTTACTCATTGTTTGCTCACTTTTCAGTCGTTTTGCTACATCACAGTTTGAGCAATTCTGAAATATTTCATAACATTTTCTTTGATAAACCAACTTTTGGGACACTTTTTGTTTTTGTTTGTGTGATTAGATATAATTATTTATTTGAAGAGAAATGGCATATAGAATAATTTCTAATTATAAATTATTATTATTTCTTTTCTAGTCGTGGATACGGTGGCAGTGATGATGATGCAGGAGGAAGTAGAGGTGGAGGTTACAGAGGAAGGTCTCCTTCCCACTATCAATTTTAGTCAAAGATATTCCCGCTCCTATTCACCCCATAAGTACGGCTACTACTGAGGGCAAAAGGAGTAATTGATGTTTTACAGTTTTTCATTTTTTGTTCAATGTTATCACTTAAAGACAAAATTTTATTGTAATCATCACTTGATGTTATTAAACAAAAAAAGTAGCAAAATTCATTCACTTTGTAATTTACAAGGTCTGTTCAAAAAGTATCGGACTTTATTTTTTTCCGCGTAAACCAATGATGCGAGAGAGGCCTCCTTCGGTGGAGTTGTGGAGGGGAGACCTTATTTTTTTCCGCGTAAACCAATGATGCGAGAGAGGCCTCCTTCGGTGGAGTTGTGGAGGGGACAGTCATGCACAGCCCTGAATTTTTTCCCGCCAGCAGAAAGCGTCAGTCGTTGGCAATCGGCGTATGAGTGAGGTCATGTAGTGCGCTCTCGTCGGATTTCACTAAGCTGGAAAATGACTGAACAACNTCTTCCCGCGAATCGTATGTGAACTCTCTCTCTCTCCGCGACAATCCTTTTTTCCAATAGATTTTTAAATAAACCCTTGTTAATTGTTAAGTGTATCTGCGTCACTTCCAATGGTGTCTCTCGAATCGACATTACGAATCCGTCTGACCACGTACGGGACCGCTCGCTCGATGGCGTGACGTAATCGCCGTCTCGGTTTCTGTGTTTCAAGAAACACAGTGGTGTCAATCCTGACAGGGTACCAAAGAGGTGCCGACCCGAAAGGTCACACAAAGTAAGGTTCTGGCTGACTTTTTTGCAGATTGTTCTGCAGACAGTCATTTTAAAAACTTTTTTCTGCACTTAACATTTTGTTTCACAAGACACATCTTTTATTTCAGGATAGAATCCAGTTTTAGACAAATTTTTAAGTGAAAAATAAGATTTATCATCACAATGTATTGAATTTTCTGCAGCTTTGTGGCCATGATTCTTAATATTTTTGTTTTGCTACAGTTGCTTTATTTGCTGATTTTAGTGTCAAATTGACAATAATATTGCACACTGGATAATAATAATTCATATTGGATGATTTCATCATTTTTTTGCACAAGACACAATTACTTTTTTAAAGTTTTATGCTTGGTTTTGTCAGTATTGGTTGTCTTCAAAGAATGTGTCAGCAATTTTATGCCGGCATCTTTTTGTAATAAATTCTACAGGATCCTGGAGTTACTCATTGTTTGCTCATTTTTCAGTCTTTTTGCTACATCACACAGTTTGAGCAATTCTGAAATATTTCGTAACATTTTCTTTGATAAACCAACTTTTGGGACACTTTTTGTTTGTTTGTGTGATTAGATATAATTATTTATTTGAAAATAAATGGCATATATAATAATTTCTAATTATAAATTATTATTTTTCCTTTTCTAGCCCTAGATATGGTGGCAGTGGTGGTGCTGGAGGAGGAAGTGGAGGTGGAGGTTACAGAGGAAGGTCTCCTTCCCCCTATTACAGTCGTAGTCGAAGATATTCCAGGTCCCGCTCCCGCTCCTATTCACCCCGTAAGTACGGCTACTACTGAGGGCAAAAGGAGTAATTGATGTTCTACAGTGCTTCATTTGTGGTACAATGTGTAACACTTAAAGACAAGATTTTATTTGTAATCATCACTTGATGTCACTAAAGAGAAAAAGTAGCAAAATTCATTCACTTTGTAATTTAATAGGTATACTTTTCACGTCGTCTTCAATATGTGTATTACACTAAAATAGATTTTACTGTATTGTAACAAAATTTATTATTCCTGACACGAATCTGTCATCAGTTCATAATGTACACTATTCATTGCATATAAAATTGAGAGAAACATTTTCATTAAAAATTTAGATAATTATTGGATTGTCGCCATTTTTTTTTGTTTCCTACTACCTTGTACTTTCTCTCTTACCCTTGTATGTTCATCATTTTCAAATAAAGTTGATTCCTACTACCTTGTACTTTCTCTCTTACCCTTGTCTGTTCATCATTTTCAAATAAAGTTGTTGACAATCCATTAACTGTGTTTTTGTTTGGATTTTAAGGGTCACAAGACAGAAAAATAAGAGGATGANCCATTTTTTTTGTTTCCTACTACCTTGTACTTTCTCTCTTACCCTTGTATGTTCATCATTTTCAAATAAAATTGTTGACAATCCATTAACTGTGTTTTTGTTTGGATTTTAAGGGTCACAAGACAGAAAAATAAGAAGATGAAGAGTATTTATCCTCACGTTGGTGAAGATAGAAAATGTAAATTAGAATATAAATGAAACCATGTAAGTAATTGAAGAAACAAGTTAGGCATTTGAAGCATTCAAATACAGAAGCAAATAGAAGAGCACATGGAAAATTTAATAGCTGACAATCAAGACTTAGAGAAAAAAGAAAAGTCAAATTAAGTGAATTGGTGAAGAAAGAAGTATGCAACTAAAGAAGCAGAGGAAACATTTGATGTTTGTTTTTAGGTAAGCAAACATCAGTGTCGGGAAGATTTTTCTTTGCCCGATGTAAATAACTTCTTCCTTAACCGTTGGTCAAAATTTTAAGATTTCCAATGGGAGAACAAAATTTTAGAGGGTTACCAAGTTGAAAATTGAACGTTTTCAGTTTAACTGAAAATGAGGAATTTTCAATTTTATTTAGAATTTTGACTTTTAAATTTCTTTCTCCCAGGAAATTAGTAATTTTTAGTTTAATGTAAATTTATTTAAGGCAATTTAAAATAATGGGGTTAAAATAGCAATAAANCTTTTTTTTTATCATCAGTTTGGTTAATAGTTAGTGTTTAACGCCTACCTCTAATGTCAAATTATTTTATTCCAATCATTTAATTAGCCATGTTATAGCCCGATATTTAGGCGATCGTTTGGTAATTGATTGTATACAGTACTGTAATTTATTTATTTATAGTTTACAACTCAAAGTGAACAACTAAGAAACTCAAAATTATTGAGTAAGTGTTCACTTTAGTAACTGATACTATAAATATTACACAAATATGTGAGATCCGAATAGGCCCCGGGTCTAAATTAATAATTTAAAGGAAATATCAAATTTTTGTCATAAAATATTATTTTGTTTTGGGTGAGAAAAATAACGTTTTAGCGTGGGAAAGATAGATAACAGATGCTACTTCCTTCTAGGGAAGTTAGAACATCTTCTGTTTTTCCCTTATTTGCTAAAAATCTCGCTTCGATGGGAAATGTTTATCCCTCATTTCAGCCCCTTTCCATTTGTCCACGTGGAAAAATCCTAAAACTATGATTGGACGTAAATGGGAAGATATAGAGGAAATTTATCAGAATTCAAGGAGTTGGTCAGAAAATCTCATAGAGGAGAGACACCTTCATATTTTCCCCTAAGACCAACGCCCTTAGTCGTATCACATAGAGAAAATCATAGAGTTAGCACTTAGAAGATATACTTTGATATTGTGCACATTTTGACCTCCCATGGAATGAAGTGTGAGAACTTTATAAATGAAGTGCCTTTGCCTACTGAAGAAGACGACGAAAGACAACTAGAACAGGTTGTATGTTTAATAGCGATTTTGTAAGCTCTCTCTCTCGAACTTGTATCGGTTAAAGGATAAGTTCGTATATCTCTCAACTTGTATATATATATTGTGATTTGAATTAATTGTCTCTCGTTCGTTTGCTTTATAATGGAATTAATCCATTAGTGTATAGTTATAATTATATATATGATTGATTAACCCTTATCGTATCATCCAATGCCGACACTGTCTCGTGTAGCCGTGCTCGAGGAAATTCCAAGGTCATTGGGCTAAATCTACTTATATTACGTAAAAAATTCGTAAAAAATCTAATTTTTGTATTAAAAATATGAAAACAAAGAATTCTAATATTGAAGTATTTGTACTTTTGTTTGGTATATTATTTNTCGTCCCAGACTGCATGCTGCAGCCTACTGCTACACAACATGTACCACTTGATGTCATTTCAGCGCAGATTATAAAATATTACGTTTGCAAGAAGAGTTCGGAGCAGATATTGTTTACTTGTGTATGCAAGGAAACAAAGCGAACCGGAAGTATCAATGGTCCAGGATGTTTTTATGCTGGTGCTGCCATCTGGCGTGATGAATACGGTCAATATAAAGATTATATGTATATTTTTTTATAAATGTTTCAAATTCCTTATTTTTTAACAAACGCCTTGCAAGTTATGATATGTTTGTATTAAATTAAATAAAAAACGTTTTTAATCATATTATCAATGAGGAAGTGGCTCTATAATTATAATAATTACGTGTTGTTATTTTGTTAGAATGGTAGCGAGTTTCTTAAGAAAAATAAATTTTATTTACGATTTTTCGAACTACGTTTAAATATTTAGAAATATTTGCGATGGATGGCAAGACATTATAAATTTTGATAATTAATTTTATAAAATATAAATGACTATTTTAAACGAAAGATCGCACTGTAGAAAACTCAAAATTGCATATTGATAAAGTTACATACTGTAATTATAAATTTTAAATAGATAATTAATTTAAGAAAAGTGTTCATCCTTTTTCATTTTTTTTTACATACTAAAAGAATTATCATAAATTCTAGAAATTAATTTTAAAAATTATTTTCTGTAAATTATATATGTGTTGTATGCAGTGGTGATATTCAGCGGGTTCGCACAGGTTCGGCCGAACCCGTTGTTAACATTTTCAAAGTTTTCCGAACCCGTTGTTAAACACACGTAACATTTCTCAGCGGTTTTGTTTCTTTTAAAAAATATATTAAAATATACGTATTATACTCTGTAACACTACTAAACTAGAGTCTTATACCCCGTTCGCTATGTTCCCCTTGTACGCCGTTCGCATATAACCTCCATCGACCGTTTCAATCTCGACTGAAACGAGATTTAGGCTGCGTACACACTAGGCGTTTTTAAACGCGCGTTTTAAAGAACCAAGAGTTCTACTAAAGCGCCCGAAAAACGCGCGTTTTAAGAAAAATCTATAAACGCGCGTTTAACGCGTGCTTGGCCAAAAGCGCGCGTTTGAGTATGTACGCCTATGTAGAACTCTTGGTTCTTTAAAACGCGCGTACACACTAGGCGTTTAAAAACGCCTAGTGTGTACGCAGCCTTAATCGCGATCGACTCAAGAGAGTTCTTGAAACTAGGTCCAGTCATACGAGGGATCCCACAATCCCACGCGCGCGAGAAAATACAAGATGGCTGCGGAACACGTGTCGGGCTATCGACAGCGAAATAAAAAAGATATTGTATTTCGAGAAACGATGACATCTGTCTATTATTATAATAATACCTAATGATAAAATAAATGATTTAGAAAAGTTTTTTCTTGAGAAAAAGTCATAGGGAAAGCAGTTAACTCCTTGGGACTCTAGCAATTTTTGATATTAATGTAATTAAACATAAAAAATACTTAAAACTGAAAAAACGAAAGAAATGCGTTAATTCTGAAGAAAAAGCTTCAGATTTTATTTTCCTTTGTCTTGTCTTTCTGTGAAATCTGACGCTGATGAGTCATTGTTTAAACAGCTGGATGACCTTGAACACAGCTGGAGTTGGATTTCCCGGGACATTCTCATAGAAGTCTCGGGAGGCGATGGGTTTATAGTAGGGTGAATACTAGCTGGCCGTATATTTTTAAAAAATTAAAATTTTTATTGCGATTTCCGACCCCCCGACTTAATTAAACTTATATATAATAAAATCTATTAATTAAAAAAATTTAAAAACTATCGGAGGTCGTTTTTGACATCAGAAACTAGCTTTAAATAACTTAACCGAAGTAAAATCCGTGCACTACAACTTTAGAACGATGAATGAAATTTGATATCAAACTCCCATTAAAAAACAATTAAAAAGCAATTAAGCGTGAATCGTGCGTCATTAAAGGTAAATTAAAATCGCGATAAAATTTTTTCGCGCGGGAAAAAATTTTTGAAAAAATTTGGAGACTTAAAAAACATTCCAAAAATAAAAAAAAAAAACCAAAACTTTTTAGTGGGTCCAAACGCTCGAGTTTTATGTAACGCTATGTAACTTGCCCGATATATCTCGGGCTTGGAGTTTAAAGTGTTTAAGGAAAAATTTTCTGTTAGCGAACCCTTTGTTAAATATTTCGAATATCACCACTGGTTGTATGCATTGATTGTAATTTAATTCAAACAAACTACTTTGTTTGATATTCCTTTCAAAATAAATTTTTCAAACATATTAACACATAACATAAGTTAAATTAAATTAATTTACTTCTAATTTAATTGTTAATTGTGGCTGTACGCTATGTATTTTATAGTTTTATTTTTACTTCAACGTTCTATCCTTCACTTCCTGTTTCTTTGTTCCATTGTTTTTATTCTGTGGAATATTCCTTTTTGAAATTCTTTCCCTTATTTGGTCATTCAAAATATCCTAGAACAAAGGAAGGGTGTACCACTCGGGATGAATAAGAGAGGAGAGGGCAGATGAGATTCGGACTCGAGGTGAGAGGGTGGTCATACGAGCCTTCTGGTACGTTTTTATTAAATTTTTACTTTTCCGTCCATAAATTACGTAAGGGTGATTTCGGCCATTCTAGACCCCCACCCACCCCTGTGTAAGAAACCGTAATATATTCTTTGATTCCTTCATCCCCTTTTGTATCTTACGTAATATTTTGGCATGAATTTTTAGAAAGATTTTAACCAAAAATAGTTTTGTTATTTAATTAAAGGACAGATTGAGCTTAATCTTCAATTCCAAAATAATGCTCTACGTAATGAAATTGAGCGGTAAGCTTATTCAAAATGAGATCCTACCCTTCTAACATTTCAGGTGTTTCAGTGTTGAATATGAATTGCTCGAATATTGAAAATAATTGCATAGAAATTCATTTGCAAGACTACGAATTGTGGAAAACAATGTTTAGTAAGCACCACTTTTCTCACTTGCTACGATTCTTCCATGGAGAATCATGCGAATATCCTCCCTAAACAAGGAAAGACAAAACAAGCACTGCATTCTGCATGCTAATGCAGAATGCAGTGCTTGTTTTGTCTAGTGCATTCTGCATGCTAATGCAGAATGCACTAGACAAAACAAACATAAATTGAAACATACAAAACAAAACAAACAAAATGAAACATAAATTTCATGTTTAGTGCATTCTGCATGCTAATGCAGAATGCACTAAACATGAAATTTATGTTATTCGTTTAATCAATTGTAATATTTTAATTGTTCTCAACTGTTATAATTTTCAGATGGTACTTAATTCCCTCCATATGTATCAAAGAAGAATTGTCATAGGGGAATGTGGCCCCAAAATCTATAAAAGTGGAAAAAGGTAACTATTAAAGATACATTGGATATGATGTTATAGATTAAGTACTGTGTTCATTAAGTTTTTTACATTCAGTAAGCTTATTCAAAATGAAATCTTATAAATACAGTGTATTGACGAGAAATGAAAATTTATTTAACAAAGACAGTGACTACCAGTACTCTAGTTGATTTGATTCCAGACCATGAAGGAATTCATTGGCCTTTTGATATGGCTTTTGATGGTTTTTCTGCTGGAATAAAAGTCAGAGGGTAAATTCATTGTTTTAAGTTTATTAAGTACTGTATTCATTAAGTTCTTTACATTCATTTATTATGTATATATTGTATACTTGACAGATGTGTTGTAGGATGTCCCTATGAAGGGGCTGTAAGTCTTGGACTTAAATGTCCAAGACCAATTTAATGGACATTTAAATACTTTTACAAGAAGAACACTGTTTTCTTTTTTTAATTCTTCCAATTTCTGTATTACTTCTATAAGCTGTTGTTTTAGCGATTCCGTATGAGTAGAATTATTAATATTGATCAAGACAATCTTGACTAAAGAAAAACAGTAAGTAAAGATCTTTTGAATTTCTCATTGTGGTGTCATCCCAAAGAGACTGAATTGTAGATAGAGATTACAGATACATATTTCACATTAACAAAGTATCCATATGTCAGAAATGTTTTAATATATTTCATGATAAAATAATTTAGCAAAAATATAAAAATATATTAAAATGGTATTTATATTCAATAGCAACCAGAAATTTTCAATTTTATGCTTCGGAAAACTTGCTTATTCGTGTAAATAGCGTCAAATAANGTGGATAATTTAATTAATATACTGTAGTTTTATTTTTACTTCAACCTTCTATCCTTCCCTTCCTGTTTCTTTGTCCTATTGTTTTTCTTGTGTGGAATGTTCCTTTTCGAAAATGTTTTCTTTATTTGGTCATTGAGAGTATCCTAGAACAAAGGAAGGGTGTGCCACGCCTTAGGGGATGATTAAGAGGAGAGAGGGCAGATGGGATTCGGACTCGAGGTGAGAGGCTGGTGATAGGAGCTTTCTGGTGCGTTTTTATTAAGTTTTGGTAAAAGGATAAACTTTTACCAATAATAATTATAAAATTGTATCTGAAGCAATGAAAATAGAATCAGACGTTGATATCAATAAACTTCTTCACATATGTACCCCAAATATTTACCTCTAACCAGTCTGCTAGTGTCCTAGTAATAGTTATGAGTAGTCTTACAAATCTTTTATAAAATTCTTGTACACTTATACATGTTTTTAAATCATATAAAGTGTCTAATAACTGTATTATAACATATAACTGTATAATAAAGTAAATAAATAAATAAACTAAAAAACATTTACTTTTTTATATAATTTATATCAAAAATTTAAGAAAAGTGAATACATTTATCTATTTCTATAACAATTATAACCTGGAAAGTAATTACATAGCTATTTGGTTTCAAAATTTAACTGAATACAATATAACAATTGTTAGTAACAATTTATAACAATTGTTAGTAATAATTATAGATTATAGGTATTTACATTTAAATACCCGTAAATATATGGTAATATAGTAATATACCCGTAATATAGTGTGGCTACACGCCATATTTAAATCGTATATTTTATATATATTTTTTGCTTCACCTCTGTCTGTCCTATTTGTTTATCCTTACTGTAATGTTCTCGTTTTTCCATTGACTTTGGTGTGTGGGTGGACTAACCTGAGAAGCAATGAAAGGAAGGCAGCTCTGAGAGGAGGGGTTGTTTACCCTGACTGGAATGTTCTCGTTTTTCCCTGGGCTTTTGGGGGATGTGAGTGGACTAAATGGAGAAGAGGGGAGGACTGGGAGGAGAAAACCCGAAGGAGAGAGCGAGAGGAAGTCTTCCCAGTAGGTTTAGCATCGTATGGTCGAGACGAGAACTTTGGAAGGGAGAAAGAAAAGGAACTTAATTGAGAGGAACCAGACGGATCGACCCTTTGGACTAATATCTTAAAGAGAAACAAAAAGGGAGCTAATCAGTCTCCAACCCGATGAGGAACCTCATCCACGAGCCCACACAAGCAGCATACATCATCAAGTTTTGGGTACCCTCTTTCCTTATTCCTTACTTTCATTTTCTAAATCTTCGAATAAGCCAGCTCTGTTCAATAGTTTTAAGTAGTAATAGGAACCTAGTATTAAGATAATCTTAAGTAATCGGATAATCGGGTCGGATAAAGGACTACGCGCGTGCAATCTTTGTCGGGAGACCATATTGTGCGGTGCCCGAATAATTAACTGTGTGGATTATTCGGTGGGAGTAGCATTGTTGGTATCCTTAGAAACCTGTATCTTAAAGAGCGAGTAAATACAATAATTGTGTTTCATTTTATCTACTAATATTGTAATATAGTCTACTAATAACACTTGTTAGTTTTTATTGCTTTTTTCAAGGTCAATTGATGACTGTTTAATGATTCAAGCAGCATTCCTAGTCTATGAATTTATCAAACAAAAAGATTGCACTTAAGCTCATAAGTGTTATTTAAAATTTACTTTAAAATTAATCTTTTAAAGTTTTATTCTACATAGCTTAGAAATGTTTGTTTTAAACATGTAAGTAGAGTTCTGCTACTCATTAGCAACCCTCCCCATAAACTCCACATCTGTAATGGTCAAGAATTTGGAGAACTGAGGTGGTCACTAAAAGGGAGATGGGGAGCTAAAAGTTAAATTACTATGTCCCTTGTGTGCCATGCCATGTCTGCTTTTGTTCCAAATAGTTTACCTTATTTGGTAATGTTAAATTGCTAGCCTATAACAAAGAAAGGGTGTGAACCTTTTAGAAATTGAATAGGAGGAAAAGGCAGACAGGATTCAGACCACCAAGTGAAATTGTGGTGATACAAGCATTCTGGTGCGTTTTTAATTAATTTTTAAATTTAATTTAATTAAAAAAGAAGGAATTAATTTGTTATTTAAACTAATTTCAATTGTATTAGATTAACATTATAATTATCATAAGTTATATATTTTATTTTAGTTAAGTAGGAGGGGCATCAAAAATTGTTTCCATTTAAAATGAATTTTAAAAAATTATAAATTTCTAAAAATATTTTTGATTTAATTTCTGATTAAGATCTAATACTGTACTGATTGAAGTTTCATACATTTACTTTCAATTCAGACTATGATAAGATGCTATAATAGTACAGCCAGGGCCAGATTTAGGGATGTAAACAGGATACAGGGCACAGGTACATTGCATTTCCCTTCTGAAGTTTTTTATAAATATAAAGTTAAAAATTAAAGTTCTTTTTTATAAATAAAATATAAAGAAAGGTAATCTTTGTTTATTAGGAATGTATAGAAACAAAAATAGTCTACTACTGAAATAGTGTACTTACTACATAGAATTCTATGTATTTTTAGGCATTTGGGCCATTCATCATCCTGCCAGTGGTTATATTCAAGGAATGAATGATCTTGTAACGCCATTTATTGTTGTCTTTTTACACGAAGTTGTTTCTGCAGGTAATAAATAAATATTATCTAATATATTAAGAACTAATTCAGGAGCATAGTTAAGTGAAATTGGATCAGTCTCTCTGATCTTATCTCTGATTCTGTTTAAATGGTCCACAGATTGATGACTTTGAGCATCACTGGTCTAGATCACTGGTAGATATCTGCATCAAAACTTCTTATTTATGTAAAGAAAAATATAACATTTTGCTAGAAGAAACTGTAAATTCTGTAGATTTAAAGTATCNTCTTATCTCTGATTCTGTTTAAATGGTCCACAGATTGATGACTTTGAGCATCACTGGTCTAGATCACTGGTAGATATCTGCATCAAAACTTCTTATTTATGTAAAGAAAAATATAACATTTTGCTAGAAGAAACTGTAAATTCTGTAGATTTAAAGTATCAACATTTTCACTTTTCCTGCTAGGACTTTTTTAGTGTTTAAATCTATAATTAGTTTTTTGTTAATGTTTATCCTCTAGCAAAGCTAACAGTTACAAAACAGAATATTGTATATTCCTATAATGTATAAGCTCTATTACATTTGTGACATATAAAACAACTGCTTTGAAATTGTCAGACAATAAAATTTAATCAGTTTTGTAAAGAAATTCATAAACAAGTAAATGTATCAATGATAAATATTATGATGAAACAATCATCCATCATTTATCAATTCGATATACTATACTATGTAACATAAAAATGTTACTCATGAAAAATGCAAACCTAAACTGCCAGATTGCCTTCAGGCTACATTGAGACAATTTAACTAATTAATTATCCAAATTTGTTCTAAAAGTATAGGTAGGCTGTTATACAATCATCTTGTATGATGATTAATGATTAAATTATATATTAATTTAATAAGTTACAAAATTCTGATCTTAATGATTGATTTTAATGTATCGACTAAGCAAATCAATGTGAATCATACTGAATACTGAAAGAGTATAGAGTAATGTAGCCCTGTGCCAATAGTTATTCTGCCAGGTTACATTTGCATCTACCATGCATTTTACAAAATGGTATCACCCATATCAAACTACACCAGAATTGAAAAGTGAGCTATTATTTGATTTTTGACAACCAAAGGCATTAGATTCAGTTAGATCCATCACATGTTATATGCACAGTATGGAGAGTCATGCTTGTCACTACTAAAAGCTTGGATTCAAAAGTTTATGTTGCTCATTGTCTATGTTTATTTGGCTTTTTGAACTTTTGAATCTATTTAACCTTTATGTTAAATTATTTTTCTTTGGCAGTACTACAAACCTTGTTTATTGAATCTGCTTTGTATACAGTAGAGCCTCGAAAACTCGGCACTCGATAACCTGGCACTCCGGATAACTCGGCCACACATTGGCAGGGCAAAAAAATCCTTACTTAATTAATTTTCATTATAGACAGCTTTATAAAAGTATAAAAGCTCTCGTAAAGTATTTTTCTGAGGTCTGTCTTATCAGGTAAATTACTGTACACACTGTATTCATTAATTTTCATTTTCATGTAGTAAAGGCTCTATGCCTTCATAAAGGATGTACTTTTCCTTTGTTTAAGGGTATTTGGGCAGTTTATTCTCTGTTGTATTCTCAAGCAAACAATACATACAAGTACAGTACAATATTTTCTGAGGAAACACGCATACTTATCCTTTTTTAACCCCATTCCCGATAACCCGGCAT